TCATTAGAACATGTATAGTCTAATTGTATCGTACAGACGCTTTGCAGATGAATCTAGGCTTTTCAAGTAACAGTGAACGAATAAAGGCTTTTCAGACAATGAAAATAGACTTTTCAGTTATAAGGACAATAGCGATTTATCACTTCATTGACATAGTACTGGCATGCAAGGAAGCACAACTCCACTTCATATCCACCATCCATTTTATGACTATTTGATCCAAGGGCTGAGGTGAAGAGGCACACGGATCGCTGATATGGCACATTGAGAGGCCTCCATTCCTCCTCTCAACCTATAAATAACCCCTCACTCCCTCTCATTCACACACAAAACAAGGAAGAAGAGCACTCCTCAGCATTTTCTTTTGTTGCAGTACCAATGTCTAGAGGGTCGTCCAGAGGGAGAGGAAAGGGGAAGGGAACAACCATTAGGTGGGAGAGTCCTCTTGGTCCCGATTTCTTTGAGGAAGCTCTTTATGAGAGGTTCCCAGTTGAGAGCAAAAGCGATTTCACCAAAGAGGCACCACTAAGAGGATACGATGAACGGAAAGAAGAGTGGCCAAAATGCATGCATGGTGAGGACTACCTAGTGCAGATGTTCACCGAGGGAATAGATGGAGGTCGTCGTTTCTTTAAATGCCCACGAGCATGGGTACTTGCTATTAGTATTTGTTTCTTCAATATGTTCCTCATCTATACAACTTACATGACATACTTATTGCAGTCTTCCTTGGCTGAAGAAAACTGTGGGTTCACTAGGTGGGTCGATCCTCGACTTATTTATCCACATGCGGAGTATATCTACTACCTGCAAGACCGTATCTTCGATCTAGAAAGGGAAGTTAGCAGCGGTTACAAGGACAACAGACAGGACGACAACAATAACGGTGCCGATTCACAGGAGGCACTCTGCAATGATCCATATTGTATCTGCCCTAATCACAGGAACAAGGGTCCTCCGCCGCCACCACCACCACCAACAATGGGAGGCTACTTTGGAGAAGGTGCAACACAATTTACTATGTGGTCACACTACTAGGACGACTTTATCTTATTCACATGGCACATCTATGTGTTTGTTGTTTGGTTTAATTACCTAAGGCATGTTAGGTTTAGTCGAAGGAATTCTGTACCCTAGTTCGGTACATGATCTCACATGCCATTTCATGTGTTTTGTGTGCTGAAAAGGCACAAATCTAGTACACAGATTAAATGTAAATTTATTAGAACATGTATAGTCCAATCGTATAGACTTGGGTCGGGACTCCCAACTTGGGTTGGGACTTTCGACAGCCACAATCACTACGCAGGCTAAGTGACTGGGCGTCAGGACTTTCGGCATGAGTCGTGACTTCCGACTATCGGGAGTTCCGGCTTACGTCGAGAGTTCCGACACCAACAGTCACTGAAAAATATTCTACATGCTCGTGGAGTGCTAGAGTGTCTCTCTTTTGATTTTATTTTTATGCTTGAGCACTATATCTTCCTCAGACCAACTAAGTTTGCATCCCTTTTTATAGTGAGGCGGATCCTAAACTCAAAAACAAAAATAAAACCATTGGAGAGTGCATATGAGTAATAGCTGCGACATATCTCATTAAGATCACATTAGTCCCTAATTTAGATGTCATCAATACATCAAAACCCACATAAGGGGCAAATGCACTTTCAAATCCTCAATCTGAAACATACTGAGTAAGCAACTCATCATCTGAGTACTAGTCCTCTACCACAACCCTGTTGCTGTGGCTAGGTCACCTGCGTTGCTCTGACCTGCCTGTCGCCTGTAGTAAGCGGCCTCCGCTTCATCTGCGGCCTCTGCGGCCTGAGTGAAGAACGCGTCGTCATCCTCCTCCGCCTGCAAGCTCACCTCTGCTAGAGCGATGAGCTCGCTCAGTCTACCAGTGTCATCCTCGGCCTCCTCCGCCTACAAACCCGCCTCTGCTAGAGCGATGAGCTCGCTCAGTCTGCTAGTGTTGTCCTCAGCCTCCTCCGCCTGTAAGCCCACCTCTGCTAGAGCGATGAGCTCACTCAGCCAGCCAGTGTCATCCTCATCCTCGTCTCCCTCATCAAACAACACAATCGATGATTGAACGGTGCGACCAGCTCACGATCTGTGCTCATCTAACTTGTTTTCCTCATTCCTTGCACGAGCCACCTCTGCGGCATGTTCCTCGCTGCATCCAATCCCTATATGTATAAAATGCAATCAGTTAGCAACGCGATTATATTACATTTAAAATCAGGCAACGAAAAAAGGCTTTCAAGCACTCACTGGCACATAATGCAACAACATGCTCGTTCAAGACCTACATCTATACTATTGTCTCCTCCCTTGCCTCCTTCCTTGTCCTCTCCTCCTCTAACGTCATCCGTCTCTCCAATCCCCATTTGTCAAGCCCAACATTGATCGGGTTATAAATACCGCACTGTCTAGCAAACTCACGTATCTTTTCTTTGTGATGTTTAACGAATAGGTTGACATAGTTAGATCCATATCCCCTCTTCCGTGCAATTACTTGCCTCCCCTTTAGTTCAACTAAGAACTTAGCTTGACCATCATAACATTCCCACTTCCATTTACTAGTGCTATGTTCAAACGAAAAATTATATCATATATGTCTTAGCAAAAGAAACAAAATACGATTTCATGTTTACCACAAAAATAACCAACCTCATCATAGTCAATCATATGGCCACAATAATGACCTATTCCAAGCTCCGAATGGACTAGACCATAGTTGGATTTAACACCACATTCGCACATGACAGGAGGTGCTTTGTAAATTACCTTTTCTTTCTTCTTTTCCTTAACCTTTCGTGGTTCTTTCGGCCATTTGTTCTTAGAACCATACAACCACTCCTTGAAACAACACTTCGCCATTGAAAACACCTAAATAAGGTGACATTAGTACATAAACACATATAGCTCAATATTTCAACACATACATTTTGCACTTACTTTATGCTTGTTTGAACACACAAACTCCAACGTATTCTTAGGGTTTATCATAGCTCGATCTCCGCAATCGCACATAGGAGGTTCCTCGAGTCGTCTAACTATGGCTAGGTGCTTCTCCTTAGCCGTCATTGGCGGAGGGTTAGGGGGGGTGGAACCCACCGCTTGAAGTGCTCACGTGGATGTCTTCCTCTAAACCAATCATCGAAAAGGAGGTACCTAGGATCAAACTTGTCTGCACCGTCGATCCACTGAAAGAAAAGGCACCTCTCATGGTCCTACACAACGAGATTCCAACAAAATATTAGTAGCATACTTACACAAATAAAGAAAAAAGATAGTGCAAATAATTTCTTACATTAAAACGACTGCATGTGTAGAAGCATCGCGCCGCTGTGTCCAGATGTTTCGATTGAAAAACATGGGCCGAGAAACCACAGTCACAGTTAGGGACAGGGAGGTCAGGAGGGACGGGGGCATCTTTGCTAGACGCGTCGGGGTATAATTCTCGAGGACGACCCCGTTTTCCCCAAAACTCCTCCTGATACATTTCTTGCATCTAACAAAACGGATGTAATTTAACAAATAAAAATCAAAACATCACAAATAAATGTCAATGAGAACCATAACTACAATAAAACCAATTTCGTTCTAAGAACCGAAAGCAATTAACATTAAACCCTAAACCTAGGGTTTCCCATTTGATGCACAACAGTGAACCCATAACATAACTACATGCGCTGCGGTTACCTAGGTTTGCTAGCTTTTCCATGCCTTGGTATCATCCTACGATTGTATAATACAAATATTGAGGGATAAAATGAAACCCTAAGTAACGACGATTCTTAGGTTGAAAAATCCGACTAATATATACCGAATCGATGCGAAAAAAACTAGGAGGGGAGCGAGGATACCTTGTTCTCGAAGATCTACGGATCAAATCAAAGTTTCCAAGGTCCAATATGCTGATTCGTGAGGTAGGGCGAAGTGGGGAGAGAAAAAACCCGAGAGAGAGGAGAAAGAAAAGGAAGAAGGATCGGGCAGGAAGGTTGGGGCCGGGGTTAAAACACAAGCTCGGCGCCAGTCATCCTGGCGTCGAGCTCGGCGCCGAGCTCGGCGCCATGAGCTACGGCGCCGAGCTTGGCGCTAGGGTGACTGGCGCCGAGCTCCCAGCCATGTCACCGCCACGTTGGCTTCGAGCCCAAGAGCTCGGCGCCAGGAACGCTAGCGCCGAGCAGTGTAAGCTCGACGCCAGCAACGATGGCGCCGGGATACGGGTCCAGATTTTGAAATATTTCCTACAGAGACATATTTGTGAAAAAAATTCCAAAAAATGGCTAAAAAATAAAAAATTCGGCCTGAGGCGAAGCATGTCAGCTCCAGCGTGTACTCAGTTCTGGTGTTTTGTGTTACTTATAGTCATAGGATCGTGCGGGTCAAGTGTTGCAATGTGTCGGGTGAACCTAGAACCCAAAATCACCTTGATGGGTATATAGTACGGGTATGGCAGTGGCTGATCCGTTCCCAACCTACATGCATCGCTAATTGTATGGTTTTTAGATATAATTTCCTTATAATTTGGATCATTTCGTTTTCCTTGTAATAATAATACAGTTCGTCCCGTCCATTCCAGAAAAAAGTGCACAAAATGACGCAAAATAATCAGATGGACATAACTTACGAAAAAGGTTCTCATCTCATCTAGATAGGTAACAGACTTCATAAATGCAACACACAATACATGACACTCCTAGATACTAGGGTTTGGATCTAACACAATTCTAATTCAGTCTTAAGAACTGAATGCACTATTGATCAAACAAAAAAAAGAAAAAACTGAATGCACTATTACAAAAGAGGGCTTGTTCTGGCTGTTCAAAAATCTGACGTTGAGGCTTTTTAATTGCTACAGAGCAATCTCTTCCAAGACAGTGGGATAAAGAGTCGACGTAGTCGCCATAGAAAATTTTCGCCTCGATGACAATTGAATCGCCTGATTAATTAAGAGAGACGACCTATGATCTTCAGATACACGAACTTAATCACTTCTCTTTGTAGATGAAGAATGCGACGAAGCCTCCTGCAACGGTCGCAAAAGCCATCAGCCAAACGACCACGGCCACCGGCGCTGGCATGATGGCGGCAACTTTGTAGGAGAAGCTGAATGTCAGCAGAGTCGTCAATATCCATACAGCGATCTTGAGCCACTCCCTCTTGGATGAGCCAGCACGGGCACGCTCATACATCCTCAGGCAGACAAAGAGGGCGATCAGGACGGCATAGGAGAAACCGACGAAGGCGATGGCCATCATATTGCCTTGCGATCGAATGATGGCCATTGCTGCATTGAAGCTGAGGATGAGGAAACCCAAAACGGTGGGCCAGGGGAAGCTGCTACCGCCATTGTTGTCCGCTTGAGGGTAGTTGGCCTCCTGATCAACCAGGAGAGGGTCGTCCACCGCGGCGGCATTCACTGGCTGACCGGCCATGGCTGCTTGGGGTGCCGCTGTCATGAAGACGGTCACCCGTGACTGGAGTTGAGGGTTCTTCGTGGAGCCAGGAAAGTGGGTTCTGTGGGTGGAAACAGAACGTAGGAAAGCTTGGATTGTGGTAGAGGAAAGCTTTCACAATCTCAAGCTAAAGCAAACGAACATCTTCGCGCGCACTCGGAACTAGAGACTGTACAACATAATAATCTGCTTCTTACCAGCTTGAAGGCCGTGCTTGTTCCAACTTGCTTGCTAAAAGCTGCAGAATGAAGGCAATTGTTGGATTGTAACAATCCTACAAGTCACAATCTGGGAACTGTTTGTTCAGCTCACAGATTATAACAAACTGTATGCCGCAATCCATAATCTGCAAGCTAAAAACCTAAAACACACGGGCTGTCCTGATTGCCAAGGGCTACCGTGGAGTCGACATTGTGGTGCTTCGTGGCCTGGTGGAGTTTTATAGGCTACCACCAGGAAGGCACGGAAGCTTCAAGGAAACCTGGGAGATGGTTACACTGGGCCCCACGGTGACACCGAAGCCATTATGACTTCGCGTTAGGCTGGCGCCTTGGTCTTCACGCAATCACGACTTTCCTCGCCATTTCCTTGCCTTGTCTCGGCAATGACGCGTTTGGCGGACTTTACACTTATATAGGCCATAGGGTATTAAGGTGTGTGCGCTGCAGCCTGCAGGTCGGCGCACGTAGAGTTCAAAAGACCCATTCGCTCAACTGACACTCTTCGTATCTTATACGTAGCATTATATATGGCACATAAGGTTTGAAAATCTGCAATTTGCAGCTTAGATTGGCCAGCAGTCAATTTGTTTATTACCGACTTGTTCGAAACTAAGTAACTCCGTCCTCTCTGAAATTTCCGATCAATGAAGGCCCAAGCCCAACCAGAATTTCCATATTTGAAAACCACTCTTAGATCTCTTCCTGAGTTGGCGATGACTGACCCACGATTTGCATTCACACTGACCTGTTCCAAAGTTATGCCCAGATTCTGCAAACAAATATAACTCCCGAGAGCCACTGCAATGCCAGGTCCTATCCAGTTGTGGCATTGTGGCTGCTGAGTAGCGACACCTAGTCACTAATCTGATTAATTAGTGCACCTTAACCTGCTTCGCTGCATTTCAAACTCATTTCAGACCAGCGTAGACCTCCATACAGCACGTAACGTTGTATTACAAATTGCCCATACAAAAAACAAAGCGCTTTGATATGAGAATATTTTCGGTTACTGAATAATCAATAGCGATTCAGGATTACCCTAGCACCATTTTCGGTGACTGAATAATCAATTTTCGGTAACAGAATTGCGCAGGCTACAATAGTTACTGTAGAGTAGAGCACATGAAACATAAAAGATATATATAGGGAAAATATCTTCACTATATGTGGGTTTTTTTATAGATCTCGACCAAGTTGAATGATTGCCACTGGTGAGATCTTGCCGATGATTGCCACAGCCTACTCTCTTGTTTATTGTTTTTTTTTTTTACAACACTCTAGTTTATTGTTGAGTCCTCTTGCTTGGATCATATGAGATACCTTTGCACCTACATCATGGCACATCTTATATAGTGCTTCGTGTTTGTCTAGGATCTCGAAGAATGTTATCTAAGTCGAAGTAATCATGACGATTATATATCTCAAGTTTCCTTAAGAGTTAGAGATATACTAACCGTATTGCAACGGGTGCCCTCTAAATAGCCTTACTGGTAATCTTTGTCTCTTGATATGCCCTGTATATTATAGTAATATTCGTCAAATATCAGTTTATGCATGGCGTAATTCAATACAGTAGCAAAAGCATCCGTTCGCATAAACCAATCCTATATGTGATCAATGAAAGCCCTAATAATGCATCTTTAAGCCGATTTAAGATGGCATACTGTTCAAGTTCATGATTTTCTAAACTTAAATAGTATTTTCCAAAATTACTTGAGTTTTACAATTTGGAGCACCAAAAATGATTTATTTGAGAGTATGTATATATCAGATTCGCCTAATTTCCATGAAAGATTTCTACTACTATCCAACACAACAATGAATCAGGCACTAAGATTGCTTTCCTAGCTAGGCTATGTCCGTAGGAAGGCCATTAAACTCTATGGTTCAGTTTGGATAGTAGAAAGTTCTTGTATATTTATCCTCTAACTCAATATCTTTCACTCCAAATGGTCCAAAAGCAATGCCTCCGTGGTTCTAATGTAATGAATTGAGATTTAGGTCTTTATACCAAACTTGATACACCACAGAATTTGTAAAAGCTCCACCATCATCTTCACGATGTATAGTTATGACTTTTGAGAAACAATTGATTCCAGAAGAAAATTCGGAAAGACAGAGAAACGTCATGGTGCTTTCTGATTTATCTTTTGACTTGAAAGAAACTATATTTAAAAAGTTGAAGGAAACAGTTTTTTTGCAGCTCTTTGTAAAATGGAAAACAGTTTTATTAATCCCATTCATTCTTTTGGCAAAATCTTTCTTTAAAGAATCGATTGAGGAATATGTACCCTTCTCAGGCTCTCATAGACTGGCTCAGAAAGTATGCAAACTATATGGAATGAGGCCTGCTTCATCAATCAATTAATAAAAAGCTATTATGCGCAAGAAGATGGATTCTTTTTTAGTTGGATGTGCTGATGCAAGATGGATGACTCACGAGTCATGATACAAAAGGTTTTATGTTAACTTAGGCACTAATAGCCCTCCAGAAAAGCATTTCTATAGACAAAGTAGTATGTAGAAATACAAAAAGATATTCAGCAGAATATATGTTAAGAAAACCAGGGAAAAAACTGCGTAGAATACATGTTAAGAAAACCAGGGAAAAAACTGCGTAGAATACATGTTAAGAATACCAGCGAAAAGATTGAAATAGACTATGTGTTCAGCATACCTGCATAAAGATTCAATCAAGAAGATCTTCCTTTTCAAGTCATAAATTATGTTTCCGCCGTAACCTGCAAAGCTCATCTGTTGCCAGACATTCCTGCCAAATTCATCGGTTGGCTAACATTCCTGTCATATCCATCAGTTGCCTAACATTTCCTGCCAGTTTGTCCATTGCCTAACACAATTGCAAGTCCTAGAACATTTCACTCCCATTTCCAAAATAAATTCATCAGCTACCTAACAGTCCCGCCAAACCGTTTTAAAACATACTATAGTTTATAAAAAGTGCCTGAGGAAAACCAAATAGTCATGCTTATACACATTCAAAAACAAGAATTCTCTTTCTTTAGAAGTTAGCTACTGTTAGACTTTCTGAAAGTTAACTAGGTTATGTTAAAAATTCTTGACCACGAGAATGTGATTGCCAAGAAAATAGCTTATGCAATATTACAAGCTTGTATAACTTGATGTGCCCTATATGCATACAGGATACTAACAATCATGTAAACCTTACTGTTAGTCAGTTACTAATTAGATGCTCGTTTTGAAGCATCAATATTAATTTTAACGAGATGCGCTATAAAAAAAAGAGAAATCCCATTATTATTACTAATTAGAGTCTCCTTTTGGTGCTTGAACGTCAGTCCTCATGGCACACACTAGAAAAGATATAGGCCTTGGAAATTCTTATAAAAAACAGAAAACATCTGGTCATCGATTCGATTAGAGGCTCCCTTTGAAGTTTCCACATTAATAATCATCAGACGTGATAGAAAAAAATGATAACCTTTCTTAAAAATCAGAAATATCTAGACACCAATTTAGTAAACTCAAATCATGACTAACAAGTAACAATAACAGCCAATGGATCTATTCTGGTTTCTAAAAAAACACCTCTGCCATTATGAAAATAGTCCAAACCCTATATCTATATCTAAATTACAGAATTACCCACATTTATCAGATTGAAAAATAACAAATAACCACATCTGCATCTAAATTACCCACCTATGCCATTATAAAAATAAATTAAAGTAACATCCTAAATTTGCATATAAATTACCCACCTTCTATTTCTGCAGAGATATCCGACAAATTGGCCAACTCCACTATTGTTAGAGTAACATAATGCAACCCCTAAATATGCATCTAAATTACTTTCATTACATCTTCCAGTATATATAAGTAAAGTATCCAAAAGTACTCCTATATATGATTCTAAACTACCCCATTTTTTACCTTCTTAATGTAGGAAAAAAAACTAACGTGTATACGAATGCAGTAAGCGATGACCATATCGATTTCCATGTCAAACACAAAGCTCAAGCTAAGTTTCAGCTAAACACATCTGAAATGCACATGGAAGTGTGATACAAAGGTGGAAAACTATGAATAAGGAAGGAAATGTAGATAAAGTAATAGGTAACAAGAGCTCATCACATACTAATAAAGATAAGAAAAGGTACATACGAGTATTGTCTCAGAGTATAAATCGATGAGTGGCTGAAGATAAGCTATTTTGATTAGCTAAGGCCCTTAAATGTGTCCATGAATATCTTATAACAATTATTGCCCACAAGGAAAGGGCAACTGAAATAACATTATGCAATCAATTTTGAGTTATTTTTAGTAGGTTCTAAAGAAGCTCGGCCCTTGGGGAATAGACCACCCGGGTATTAAGCAAAGAATATATTTTCTCGCTGCAAGACCAAGAATACACACGGAAGGCCCCCACTCACAGAGGGCATTTGTTCAGGAGCAGCCAGGGCGCACCTGCAAGCCATGTATATCTCTGCAACTGCATCAATGGAACAACAGGGGGCAATGGTGTTTCTTAAACCCAGCCTCGAAAATCTGCTCCCACGGGGAGTCGAACTCACTGGTGCTACTAAGGCCATGCAACCACTATGCTGCAGGCCTGTTCGCCTTTTTTCTATCAGGTCCGTTCGCTTTCTATGATGTTCTCTTAGCATCCTAAAAATCAGAGTACTCATGCATTTGTGCATTCAAGTGGCTACATCAGAACAACCAAATAACAACCATAGAAATTCCTAATCTTTGGTAAAAGCAGTCTGCCAACAGCGTTTAAGAATCACATTTACTTTTGAA